GAGGGGAGGAAGAGTACTCACTGATGAAGAATTGTCCCAAGAAGGTCCCGTGGGTGACGGCGCTGTCCCTGGCCGACCAGCTCGTGTGGTGGACGAAGACGGCAAGACGCACAATCATTGTCCGCATGAGGGTGTTGAGGAGGAGGACGGTGAAGATCGCGAGCGTCTGCAGAGAGGTAGACCTGAGCATGCTGTCCACCTGCTGCTTGCACGGGTTGTCGTTGCCTATCTGGAAGACCATGGACCCGACCTGCGCGTACCAGAGCGACGGGACGCTCTGCATCATGGCCGTGCAGAAGCACTTCATGCACTGGGAGGGGCCGTCGGGGAGGCTGTGGGAGATGGAGAAGTTGCTCCGTGAGAACCCAGCGAGCAGCAGGGAAGACCACTGGGAGGAGTTGAGGAGAGCAGACTCCAGGCAAGAGGAGGAGAGCTGGGAAATGGGGAGGGGGGAGGAGCCGTCCTGGGAGAACCTGCAAGGCTGTCCATCGAGCATGTAGAGAGAGCCGCTGGAGACGAGGGGGATCGAGGAGGAGAGGTTGAGGGAGGGATTCAGCAGCACGTCCGCCAGCCTGCACTGGCCCTGCTGGCTGCAGCCCGGCGAGACTGAGTCCCATGCCAGCATGGCGTTGCAGGTCGACTGCAGCTGGGGGGAGAGGCAAACTTGCTCGTCCCCCTTGAGGTTGACCTGCGCGACCTTGGCGAAGACGACGACAGCGAAGGTGACGACGATGAGGAGGAAGGTGAGGAGGAGGACGAGGATCGATCGACCGGCCCGGCTCAAGGAGGAGAACTCAATGTTCTCCCACAGGATGTCCGAGGGCTCGAGTGCCCTCCTGACCCGGATCCGGACCCCCTGCAGCCTCAGCCTCCGAGGGTAGGAGCAGGGGGTCATCCCCCTGTCCACCTTGCTGTACATCTCGAGGCAGGACATGGCAGCCAGTGGAGAGTTGAAGATGACGAAAGCGCTCCCCGCATGCTTCCCCGAGAAGAACCCTCCTCTCCTGACTCTGCTCTCCTCCTCCTCCCTCGCCTCCCTCAGCTTCTGCAGCTTCATCTCGACCTTCTCCCTCACCTTGGCTTCCGAGGAGGAGAGGATGAGCTTGTGGTACGCGGTCTCTCTGTCCAGCAGACGAGCTCTCCTCTTGAGGAAGGAGAGGAACGAGTTGGTTCGCCTCACGAGCACCACAGAAACAACCTCGTCCTCATTCTTCCCCTCCCCTTCCTCCTCCACCTTATGACCCTCCAGCAGTGAGTCCTCGTGCACGGAGCTGGTCATGTTTGATCTCGAGAGGCCCTCCTCTGCTCCCCTCGGCAGGGCTTCACCTGCCGCACCGTTCTCCTCCTTCCCGTCCTTGTCCATCCGCTTCCCGTGCTTCTTCTTCCTGGTCTTGTGGGTCAGGTCCAGTGGGTCCAACACCTGCCGGTTCATCATCGACTTCTCCGGAGAGAAGTTCAGCGACGAGGCGTTGTCCTCCTCCTCCACCTGCTGGGGAGTCAGAGGCAGCACGAGCTGGGGGTCAGCAGGGCATAACCGAGGATCCGAAATTCGATCCGTTGAGGGCCTGAGCGGCAGGAGAGGGATCGTACGGGTCGATCTTGTTCTTTCTTTCCCTCTTCTTCTTCTCACCAACATCAAGTCAGCGATCCTCCTCCCCACAACAACACCAGGCTCCCACCTTGGAGGGAGTCGAGCGCTTCGGCTCCGGCGAGCCGTCAGCGCGCTTCCTCGACGATCTCTTGGACCTCTTCAACGATTCTTCTCCTCTCCTCGACTGTGCCGCATCTTCCCCGTTCTCCTCCGCGGTCTTGGCATGCTCAGAGACATCGACAACCGTCGAGGCAAGCGAGCCGTCGAATCCATTCTGAACTCCGTTGTACGATCTGCGCAGTGAGCGTTAGACAGACGTTCGGACTCAAGCTCGTCAGTAGCGATGGATCGCTCAGGAGTACCCGTTGAGCTCGTTCCCGTTGTGCGATGAAAATCCATTGGCTGACATGTCTGAGTCAGAGCGAAGCATGTCAAGGATGGAGCTGAGAACTATTACTGGATCCGTTGGCGTGCTGGTCGGCGCGATGAGTTTGTATCCGAGTAGCAAAGTGATTCTGACAGGAGAGAAGGTGAGAGGGTGAACGATGGCTTCATCAAGATAGTTTTCTACCTTGATCTGTGCTTCATCAATGTCTTCAGGTAGATTGGAAACCATGACTGTCTGCAAACAGCACATCAGATTTCAAATTTAGAGTCCAAGACAGTGAGAGAATGTGAGACGGCAGATTGCAAGATAGAGCAGACGGGAGGAAAGGCGGTGTGATGATATCAGAGCATACAAAGTCCGAGGGTGAGAATGACCAAGACTTTGAATTCTTGTCGATTTTCATCGCCCGTTTCCTGCTGATTCCGTTGAGAAGGGCAGAGAAAGAGAAAGGGTGTCGAAAGACCAGATGAATGAAAGGAAGAAGAGGAAGTAGATGTAGGAAAATAAATCCAGGTAGGAGATAGCTCGGATCGCATCTGTTCGTTCACAAGCGAGGTATCGGGGGGGAGGGGGAGAGAGAGTGGAGTAGGAGAGGGAGAAGCAAAGAGGGAGGAAGGAAATAAGGGGGAGAGAGGCAGAATGAGAGGTGGGGAAGAGAGGCAGGGAAGAAGGGAGGGGAAGAGGGAGGGAAAGAAAGGAGAGAAACAGGGAGGGAGAGGGAGGGAACTATCAGTATCTGCCTACAACAGCGGAGAATCGAAAGAGAAGCACCGAGCGTGCTCATCTGGTAGGTCGCCGATCCTTGGCCGAACCTCAGCACGCATCTGACCAGGAGCATGAGGGTGAAGTGAGCGCCACATGATCTCACTTGTCATGGTCGCAGCCGCCGTTGGCCGTGTCGTTGCGAAAGATCCCCCCGATGGTAAAGATCTTGCCCAACGTCAGGGCAGGCCTGGCCCACCTCCTCCCTCCGTCACCTTGAAGATCTGGTAGGGATCCCCTGTGTTGGTCGGGAAGAAGTCTTGGGCTGGAGTCACCAGGAACGCCAACTGCCCTGACAGCGTCAGGGCCCAGCAGGGAGTGGAGGAGAGAGTAGCTGACCACGAGAGACGGGGTATTGAGGATGAACATGGTGAACAGCAGCAGGCTGAGCGACAGCAGAGTGTCGAAGTAGATTGCTATGCCAGGTCCGAGATCTGACAGCAGCGTGCTCAGGGCAGGAGCAGGGAGGGAGGAGGGAGCAGGGAGGGAGGAGGGAGGAGGGAGGAGGGAGGAGGGAGGAGGGAGGAGGGAAGCTCTCGATGAGCATGCTACCTGCCAAAGTCGGATGCTCGTCACTAAGGCTAGGAGTGAAGAGGGAGTATTTCTTGCTCCTAGTGACTTTCTCGCCATCTCCTATCGTCATCCTCGGCTGATTCTCGTTGCGAAAAGCTCGGGCCTCCTTCAAAGCTGCCCATCGATCCTCCACGAAGATCGAACTCTTCGACCCCAGCAGCTCTAGCTGGCCCCCTTCCGCTCCTGCTGCTCCTTCTGCTGTTTCTGCTCCTTCTGCTGCTGCTGCACTACCAACATCGCCCCCTACAGTAGCAGCAACATCGCCCTCCTTCTCTGGATCCTCCTCCTCTCCTGCCACAGACGCTTCACTTGTCCCATGTCGGCTGCCATTCAGTTGCCCGGACTCGTCCAGCCCGTCCGCATGCTTCTCTTTGCTCCTGTGTCTCTTCTTCTCCTTCTTCTTGCCATGTTCTCCTTCTTCATCTGCGGACTTGTGCTTCCTGTGAGAGTGCTTCTTACTCCTTGGCCTGCTCTCCTTGGGCCCCTCGTCGCCTACATCGCCAGCCCCGTTGAGGCTGGCCTTGGCTCGGACGGCGTCCCCCTCCTCTGATTCTTGAGGCTCCTCCATTCGTTGCTGCCTATCTTATGCGACCTCACTATCGCTCAGAGAAGAATGTTGCTAGATGCGCCATGCTTGCAGGCAGCTGCTATCTGAACACAAAGTGATTGAAATCAGTTGGAATCCAAGATCGAGCAAGGATGCGGAGCAAGAACTGGATGCAGCCTTGGAACAGGCAAACCAAGCTATGCAGGCTTGTTTCACATCAAACAAAAAATTCCTTCATCACCCCAAGAGCAGCGGGGTTGATCCATGATCAAGAAACAACAAGAAACACAATCAAGTTTCTCTTAATTGAGAGCAATTCTGCAGTTCTATTCACAAGAACGGTCTGCATCGTCTCTTCATATCACTTCTTTCCCATCTCCTCCCTTCCCTTCATCTTCCTCCCAGCCTGAGTCCCCCCTCCCCCCTCCTCTGATCTCCTTTCTCTCCTCACCTCCTACCATGATCTACCGCAATCTCTCCCCCCCCCCCATTGTGCGTTAAAAATTTCCCTTCCAAAATGACCCACCCTCTTATCTGTAAAACTGTTTTGATTCCACCCCTTATTTGGAGGTCAAATGAAGGGTCGTGGAGGGGGTAGGACAGGTGCCTAAACTCAAGTCTCAAACAGGTCAAGGAAACAATGAAGATCTAGCCGCCTCACACGCGTTCCCTCCTGATTCCTCCTCCTCGTCCTCGTCCTCGTCCTCCTCGTCCTCCTCGTCCTCCTCGTCCTCCTCGTCCTCCTCGTCCTCCTCGTCCTCCTCGTCCTCCTCGTCCTCCTCCTCCTCGTCCTCCTCGTCCTCCTCGTCCTCCTCGTCCTCCTCGTCCTCCTCGTCCTCCTCGTCCTCGTCCTCGTCCTCGTCCTCCTCGTCCTCCTCGTCCTCCTCCTCGTCCTCGTCCTCGTCGTCCTCGTCCTCGTCCTCGTCCTCGTCCTCGTCCTCCTCCCCGCCCTCCCGCCCCGCCCCTTTTCATCCTCCTCCTCCTCCTCCTCCAGCTCCTCCTATCTCGCGTTCAATTCTGGTACTTGCAGTTTTCACCAGGGTCAGGATGGCAGCCGGAGGTATCGGCATCAAGTTCCGCATGGATCCAAGCGGCCTGACTGTCACGGATCTTGTGAAGGCGAACTCATTCTTCTTCTTGCCATCTTATCGTATGGAAATGTTGTGTGATTGTTACATGCGGTGTATGCCCTATTTTGCGGGAGGATACATAAGGATGACGTGCTGGCGGAGGTCGACGTATCATGACAGGTCAACAGACAATGTGGAGCCTCCCTTAGTGGGACGGGTGGGCACACCAGTGAGTCGCACGTGAAATCGAGCCGCCATCGTCATGCCAATAGCTTGACGCGCTAACGTTGTGATGGGGTTGATGAGAGACGGGTGTGAGACCATGATCTTCGTGAGGCTGGAGAGGGCCAACTTGTCGGAGCCGTCGCATGGCGATGAGAAGGAAGAGAGGATTGGGACGCTGCTCCTGGACAACAGTGATCCGCCGGGTGTCATCACACCACCTGTTGATCCTCCCTCCAGGTCATGGCTCGAGACTGCTGGAGGACGTGATGAACCTCCTCGGCATGCCGTCCAGCCTCAACATCGTGCGGGATGAGGCAGGGGAAGATCCCGGGTACCCTCGTCCTACAAGAATCAGAGGGCACTTGGTCGTCGGCCTCCTTTCGGTTGTGGACTTGTAGTGGTGTCGGACATCAGTGTCTCCTAGGGACAAGTGCAGGATGCCAAAGTTGCGCAGTGAGTCGAGATGGACGTGATGGGTTGATGGAGAGAGAGAGCAGATGGTGTTCAATCTCGAGAAAATTGTAGTGGGATGGCACAGACCCAGCAGACAAGTTGTTCGCCGAGGTATGGAGACGGTACCTTTGTCAGCGTCACTCAGATGCTTGCCAAGTTGCTCAGACTGTTAGTGCCATCAGCGACGAGTTGAGCGACAGGATGTTCATCCTTGTTTGTTCATGAGCCTGGTGGATTTGAGCCTGTTCCAAGCGCGGTGATAACGCAAACGCAAGATGTTTGTTCAAAGTAGAGAGAAATGTCTCTGTAACTCCTTCTCTCTTAGCTTTCTTGGAAGCCTATCCTCACTTCGTTCGCTGATTTGACTTCCTTTAACCTAATCAGGTAATCAGTCTCCTCCCCAGTTGAGGTCCATTCATCCTGCCAGCAGGCCCTCTACACATGATCGTGACCGAGCAGAGATACTGTTTCGGCTGATCTGTCTGTAGCGTAACGTCCCGCTCCCTTTTCGCCGCTGCATCAATGAAAGCGATCGGATCAGCGGCCGGGCTCGAGTGACCCTTCACCGTCACGGTATGAGGCGGCCGACTCGGCGGCGAGAGGCAAGGAGGCTTGACCAGGAACACGCCGCAGCGTCGCACAGCCTGGCAGCCACTGACAGCCTGGGCCATCCACTACCCCGGGCCGGTGGGCCCCGGGGACTCCAACTTGCGGCACTGACGCCGGGGCCCGGGCTAGGCCTTGTTCTTGTTTTTTTGGAGGGAAGGGGGTGTAGTAGGGCCCGAGGGAGGGTGGGAGGGTGGGTCCTTGTGAGACTCCCTCGCCCCGGGCCGGCCCCCGTGGGGATCGGTAGTTCCGGGAGGTGGGGTGCGACAGATTGTAAAAGGTTTCAACCCCATCGGTAATCCTCGGGAAGGCTGTAAAGAGGGGGTGGGGTGGATAAGTGAATTCTCTGTGGCAAGATGGGTGGGGTCAAGGAAATTACCAAATTGGCAATGGTAGTAAGGAGGGGTATTATGACAGGGGTAAGTAGGGGTAGAGGGAGCGACCTCCCAGTAGGGGTGTAACAACAGGTAAACTCCGGGCTCCGAGAATTTTCATTTAGAAGGTGGGGTGGTCACGTAGCAGCGACTAGGTGATAGGGGTAGTGGTAAGTACGCTATCATAGCAAACAGTAGCCTCGGGGATTGGACAAGGGGGGTACTGGGTGTGGGATACTACCGGTGGTATGGGGTGAAATGTGTAGGGGTAGGCATTGGAGGATTTGGGGTGAGAGGGCCGGGGGATGAGCGCGGGAAGTGATCGATGCGATCCCCGCGATGAGAGGAAAACGAAGCGAAATGCGGAGGAGCTGGTGCAGAGAAAGGAGCAGGAGCAGGAGGAAGCGCTAAGGGGTAATTGTAGGCTACATCGAGAAACTAGTGCCTTGAAAGTTGTGTGATGGTTGGCGGTGATTTTCATCACTCCTTCGATAAGCCGCAAGTTGTACAGGTAGAATACTACAGCTCAAAGAGAAAAATGGTAGGAGAATTGGAGGGGAAATCCAGCTGCTGGTATGCTATGAAAAGACGACAACACGTCAGACACGTTGAGAAGCTCAGCACACCTGAAGTTGAGAGTTGAGAGGATTCTGTGTGCCTTGAGATCTTTCTGTAAAATGATGAGAGGAGTGGATTCGTAGATTAAGTTGTGAAGTTTGAAAAGCAAATGGATTCGCAATTGATGTGGTCTTCACGTAGATGATAACGCGGATCAGTTCTCCTACAGCTGTCACGAACAGGTATGTTGCTATTCGATTCGGAAGTTGAGTACCTGACATGGAAAGAGAAGCTGGAATAGGATGAATCAATCTGGACAGCACGACACTTCAGACGTGAACGGGCTCGACCGCAAACCAGCAGACACCAGGTGCTTTTTGAATTGCAAGGTGTGTAGATTCAAGGACTGAACGTCGAACTTTTCCAACTCAATCTAGTCATAAATCCTCTGCGACTTCTCGGAGCGCGACCTCGGACATTGAGAGGCGGAAGAAGTTCTTCTTCGATTCCGATGATGACCTTCCTACACCCCAGAGAAGAGAAGAGAAGTCAGAGGTGAGTCAAGCTGAGTCTGAGTGACGAAAATAATCATCTCCATGGAAGAGGGGAACTCCGAAGAACCCCAGAGCTCAAAAGAAAGAAGATCGCAAGAAACAAGCTTCGGAACTTTGGGGGGACGACGACGACGATAGCAATGACTCTGAGTTGAACACTTTCATATCTCCGATTTCAAGAGTGCAAAATGGAAAGATATCAAACCAATCATCTAGGCAGCCCAATTCCGACAAGAAGGCGGTATGTCCCGAGGTGCATGTATACAGTGGAATCACGCTGTGAAACTCAGGAGGGATCTCCACATGAAATATCTTTCTCATGGCGTCAGCGGTCACCTATTCGGGGGCCAGGAACTCCGAGAAGCAAGGCAGATCAACCCTACGTCGTGCGCCCAGCAAGAAAATCTCATGTGACTAGAATAGATTTTGTATTGATGGATAACAAGGGTGACTTGTTGCTTGCAGCTACATGATTCTGATTCTTCGGACTCGGATGTACCATCGGTGAAGCAGAATGACTCCAAAGTGCTCAATGATTCGATGTCAAATTCGTTCCTCTCCACAAGTGACAAGCAACAACAGGTGAGATCATGAAAATCGATCTGAGAGTGTTAGTTTTGATTGCCTTAACCTTGGTGGTCCAGAGGACGTATAGCAGGCACAATGCAAGCAAAAGGGGTAACGTTCTTGAAAAATCGTTCAGTCCATCGAAGCTCGACATCTCCAGGGGAGGACAGATTCACGCGTCGGTAAAGCACTTTGAGAGCGCAAAGATCTTAAATGACAATTTGTTGAAAAAGGAGTCGAGCAGTTCTGCGGATGAAAACACCATTCGTGCTTTACAAGTACTCTCTCTGATTCAGTACTTAAGGCGATCTTTCCTTAACATAGAATGTGGCAGGCCGAAATGATGACAATGAAAGAACAAATCGTAAAGCAACAGGAATACTTTGCCAAATATCAGAAGAGAATCAACGAGCAGGTACGACAAATGAATCTAGCATTTGTCAGAGAAATGAATGGCACGATCTCAGATTAAGGATCTTAGATCGACAATCATTGACCTGCAATCTGCAAAAGATGGAGAGGTATTTGAAGTTTCATGGGAAATGAAATCAGACTCAGATGTTGAATGCAGAAAAAGAGTCCAATATATGACAACGAGTCTTTTGCGGTAAATCGCACTCATAATGCATTGTTCTGTTGGAATGCCATGTTGAAAGAAGCAAAACAGAAGAAGGTGATCGCGCTGGACGATTCATCAGCAACTGTCTCAGCAGAGGTTGTCCTGAAAGAGGGCGAGGAATACAAGGTTCGTGAGATTTGGATCGTATCAGTGAACAACTTACATCTATCCAGCCCCTCCGCCTTCATCAAGGTAACTCTCCAGAAGCCACCGATGAAATTTTCTTCCTTCAGGACAGGTGCGATGCCTTTCACACTGATGACCCACCCTTACTCTTGGGGCACAAAGATCTCCGCAGAACGACCTTTCAAAGTCAAAGGAAGACTTGAACGAGGTTTGTCTTTTTCCTTCTGCATGTGTATTCCTGCGAAAGAGGAATAACCCTTTTAACAGCCTCTTTCGCCCAATTCCCTCGAGAATTCTAGGGAGCAGCAGAAAATGACGGCCTGGTTGAAAGATGAGATTTCTCACCTTCACATGAACGAATCCGCGGAAGCTGGAGACTCATGGGAGAAGCGCTGTACGCCCCTGGCCCTCGAAAGCTTCATCAGCGATGGAGCATCTGTTCCACGAGGTGAGATCTCTAGGTGAAGTACTGGATGTTAGAACAACCTGAAGTGTGATAACAGGTCCATCCAGCATTCCAAGAAGAGAAATAAGTCTAAGCGGAGTGCTGGGGTCGAACTCAGTGTCATCTCCAACAGCAGATGAAAGGATGCCCCTTGGGGAAGGGATGGAGAGCGACGGGCGTAGAGAAGCTGAACAAGAGTTGACCGATGAGGCGCCTGAGGGCTTGACAGCTGCCAAGAGAGACAAGGAGGATCCGCCAGAGACTTTGGCTGAGCGAATTTTGACACCTGAGAAAGGAACTCTAGAGGGTAACAACACGCCAGTGAAGTCTGGAACGAAGAAAACCAAGACACACAAGCAAGTGCGGGTGACGCGGAAAGTGATCGGGTCGATGAACGAGGGCAAGGGAGCTGCAGGCATTGGGATCGCGATAGGAATGACGTCCAAGGGCGACATCTTCCTGACTGGCATGGCTCCCAAGGGACCTGCTGAGCAATCTAACGAACTGATCAAGGGAGATCAGCTGGTAAGGGGTTCTGATGCGCCGGACACGCAATGACATCTTTGAACCAGCTTGCGATCAATGGCGTGGAAATTAAAGGGAAAAAGATGAAGGAGGTGGTAGATATGATCGTCGGGGATGAGGTGCGTCATGCTATGGTTGACCAGAATGAGACTGACGATGTAGATAACAGAACACTGAAGTTTGCTTGGACATCATTCGTTTCTCATCGACGGAAGTCAGTTAGTCTTTACATCCCCAGACTATGCGAAGACACAAGGATAACAACACAACTGCCCTGATTCAGCAATTTGAAGCTTTGCATTTCAATGTTTTCCCGCATCTTTACAAACCCTTAACTTGGGGATTCCGTAAAGTTATTTCAAGATAGATTTTAGAGCTCTCCACCTGAAACAGCTGTAAGACCGGGCATATTGAAATCGACACAATCCATGGATAGCAAAACAACTATCAATGCAAGCGGAGGGACTTTTACCTTGTTTCCTCTGTCGCTCTTCGATGTACCTGTTCACGAGGATCAGTCAAGCAACTTGAAAGAAGGACACCACTGACAGGGCTCCATGCTCCCTGAGAGCTTCGACCAGCTGGACCTGATGCGGCAACCCATCGTATTTCTACGAGACAGCGGCGAGGGAGCAAACCAAGAAGAAAGCATGAGAATGCGAGCAAAAGTTCTTTAGTTTCATACCCTCGAAGCTGCTCGACCCGAGCAAAGGTCCAGAGGCCTGTATCGGGCATTCAGAGGTACTCATCCTCCCCCTCTCTTCCTCCACTCACCCATGGCCGTTCTCATCAACCAAGTCCTTCACGTTTGCCCCGCGCTCGCTGCGCGTCCACTGGTTAGGGCTCACCACACGCGAGCAAGCAGAGCATACAGGAGAAGCATCGCGACGGCTGTGTTGTGCAGCTCTGAAGCCGTGAAGATCGGTGTATGGCCCTTCGCAGTCGCTGTGTTGATGTTTGCCCCGTTGTCCAACAGCATCCTGCATGCCTCCACCGCATTCCTTCCGGCACAGAAGTGCAAAGGAGCGAAGCCCTGTTCATCGACGGTGTTGGGAGAAGCTCCTTCCTTGAGCATGATCTCCAGGATCGTCGTGTCATTGTGACGAGCTGCCCAAGCGATAGGATACTGTCCGGCTCGGTTCCGGACGTTAACTGGAGCACCATGCTTGAGCAGCAGCTTCACAGCTTCCTTCTTGTTGAGCCAGGTGGCCAAGTGCAGAGGAGTGTTTCCACCGTCGTTTTTGTCATGGAGCGTAGGGTAGTCTTCGGGGTCATCGTACTCAAATGCTTTGAACCGAACATCGCGGAAGATTCCTGGCGTTCTCTCGAGGATCTTCTTCATGAACTCGATGTCTTCGTCTCGAGCCGCGTCGTGCAAGGGATTGTTCCCATAGGCAAGGTGAGCTTGGCTGGGATCATCTTCATCCTTTGGGGCTTCTTGTCCCTTGGAAGACTTTGACTTGCTCTTAGCCTTCGCCCCGGCATTGGAGTTGATGCAAAGAAGCAAAACGACAGCAAACAGGCAGAAGCAGCTGATCTGCCTGGACGGTTGAAGCATGGTCGGAGTTACTTCCGGCTCCGGACTGTGAAACAGAGATTTTAGAGCTTGATTTTGCGGGATGATAGCAGGTAGAGCTTAAGTTTTCCATTTTGAGCTCATGAGCAAGCAGACGGTCACGAGGAGCGGCATGACAGGCATGAACATGACAACATGTACAAAGAAGATCTGGAACTAAAGCTCACAACACTCTTCATCCACTTGAATCAGGAGATTTTGGGTGGTTGCAAACACAGAAACATTGAGAATGCACAGCTGTATAAGGTGTAGAGACTAAGGAGCAGGAGCAGGAGCAGGAGCAGGAGCAGGAGCAGGAGCAGGAGCAGGAGCAGGAGCAGGAGCAGGAGCAGGAGCAGGAGCAGGAGCAGGAGCAGGAGCAGGAGCAGGAGCAGGAGCAGGAGCAGGAGCAGGAGCAGGAGCAGGAGCAGGAGCAGGAGCAGGAGCAGGAGCAGTGCCGTGGCAGTTTGCAGTGTTACGGGGCGGGCCTGAAAATAAAACTAGTTTTTAGGGATGGATTGCTCTCGAACCAACCAAGACCCACCCTACCCGTTGGCTGGCCTACACCCTTTGGGAATACTTTTCGACTATTTCACAAACTTTCTCAAATTTGGTCCCAAATTCAGAAATATTCTTTTTAGTTTCAATAATTATCAAAACACTGTTGATTCCTGTTGCTTTTTCACCCACAAAGAGCATTGCACACAGTACCCACCCACTTGGCTGAATTTCTGTGTACTGTCCACCCTCTGAAAACATGAGTACCCGTATGTTTCATAGTGATTTTCTTTCAATTGTACCCCTACTCTCCTACCCCTACCCTTATCAACATACACCCCTGCGTCGTACAAAGGTTTACCGCGCCATCATGCAGATCTTCGTCAAGACTCTCACTGGAAAGACCATCACCCTGGAGGTGAGAGGAGGAGGAGGAGGAGGAGGAGGAAGCAGAAGAAGGGCAGGAGGAGAAGGACTTGCAGGAGAGCGAGGGATTGCGAAAGAAGCTCGAAAACGTTGAACAAGTCCGTTAGCATTGTGGAATGAATTAGGGCATGAACAAGGAAGTGTGACCAAAGAGTGTGATGACGTTGGGGCAATACAGCGAATTTGTGTGTAAGTTGGTGTAGTAGCCAAGAAATAGAACTACTGCATGCATCGCCAAGGTGTTCGATGAAGACTTGTGAGCTTAGCACCAAGCAGCTGCTGTGCTTTAGATGAAGCGATCGCAAACGTTGAGCGATATGATGCCGCCCGCGTGAATGTTCTCTTTTGGTCTTCTTATTTGTGAATGTTCTCTTTTGATCTTCTTATTTTGTGAGAATGGAAGTAGAGGACTCATACGGAGGGGGACTTCTCGCATGATAGCCAGAGCAGTCCACTGACGGCTTAGTGTAGGTCGAGTCCTCGGACACCATCGACATGGTCAAGTCTAAGATCCAGGACAAGGAGGGAATTCCCCCTGACCAGCAGCGTTTGATCTTTGCTGGCAAGCAGCTAGAGGTGATGGGATCCTCTGCTCGAGATCCCTGCAGCGTTAATTTGTGTCTGGAAACCAGGACGGCCGCACCCTGGCAGACTACAACATCCAGAAGGAGTCGACCCTCCATCTTGTCTTGCGTCTTCGTGGAGGCCATTGCCAGGTCCCCTGTGGAATCTTCGATGACCCCAAGGTCCTCTCCCTGCTGCGAGCCGAGCGTCCTGCCTGACGAGCCTTCCAGCTTGTTGCCGAGGTGAAGGAGGCGTGCGCTACCATCCGCAAGGCCATGGTCCAGATCAACGAGCTCTACGGCAACATGAATCCGCAGAACTTCAACCAGATGACACGCTGGGTGAACACCAAGGAGGAGCATTGTGGCAAGATCATCAATCTCATGTCAGGTGAGTGTGAAAGAACTCCTCTGCCCGCGATGACTGATGACTCCACTGCAGATTACTGCCTCTGCCAGCGTGTCAAGCCTGTTGGAGCTCCTGGCAGCCCGTTCACGGAGGAGAAGGACTTCATCGATGCGCTCAAGGCTCACCACAGCGTCATGGTCTGTGCAATGAAGTGCAAGCAGACCATTGACGTTGCTGAGTGCGACAAGCTCGACCATGCTGTTGGAGGTAGAGATGGTGCTTTGTGCCGATCAAGAAGGATTGATCTTTCATAACAGACATGTCCAAGATGTACCTCCCAAAGTAAGCTGTCGACTATGAGACAGTCCGAGGGTGTCCGCGGTTAGCGTTGCGATTCAAGATCGTGAATGGTTCGATAGGAACTCGGTGAGGGATGATGCTGGTAGAGAGGTTGAAAGAAAGTGGTCGTGACCATAAATAAAGACAAAAACGATCACAAGATCTCATCGTACATGAAACAACTCGTTTACTGTGTATTATCCAAACCTTACCAAACAAAACATCGACGAACAACAGAAAAAAATTAACTTGGCGTGTTCTTTTGTTGTTTTGGTTGCTGCTAACAGTCCTACATATGTACATTGATATGTCACAAATCCACCATCAATATCACTCTACACGGAACTCAAGCCCCTTCCAGGTTAACCACAAAGCTGCCATTGCTCGACCGACGTTCCTCCTCTTCGTTGGATTTTCTGCTTATCCCGGCGTACTCCACAACCTCAGGAGCCATCTCGACGTTGACCATCTCCTCAAACTTCTCGATTCGCGCAGGACCATGCTCTTCTTCCTTCTCAGCCCCTAGGAACATGGAGCCAAACCCAGGCATCCAGATGATAGGGACCAACATCCCAGTGATCATTGCCAGCCAGCCCAGCATGCAGAACGCAGGCCTTCCTCCGATCCTCACCAAGAAATTGCCTCCTAGAGCTCCTGCCGTCCCTCCTGCTCCGACAAGCCCTGCCACCCCTCCGATGGCTGAAGGCTCGACGAAAGGTACAACAGCGAAGCAAGCGCCTTCCGTCATGTTCGTCAGGGTTGCCCAGAAGAAGAGCGCTACTAGTGCGCCTGTGATGCCACTCGAACTCTGTGTGCAACTAGCGAAGGCAAGCAGGGATGAGCCCATTGCAATGGTACACAAAAACAGGGCCCACAGACGGCCACGGACCCCAAAGAGTTTGAACATCTCGTCAGAGACAAAGCCGCCTAGCGGTCTTGCAAAGAGGTTGCACAGACCAAATAGCGAAGCTGCCATCCCACCCTGTGCCTGAGTCAGGGTGAAAGCTTGCGAGAGGTACAAGGGCATGTTGCTGTTCACGACCAGCTCTACTCCGAAGGAAAAAGCATAACAGGCGAAGAGAATCCAACAGTTCCAATTCTTTGCTGCTAGAACCAGAGACTTCTGTGCAATGTTGGTTGGCTCCCCTCCAGATGCCAGTATTGCTTCTTCAGTCGTTAAGTTTTTCACGCCATCACTCTTTCCATCCTTCGCTTTCTCCTCCTTGTCCTTTCGCATGTCGCAAAAATTCCCCTCCGGGGAGTCATCCGTGAAGAACAAGATAACAATTCCCGTGATGAACAAGAGGGAAGGAGGCCATGCAAGTGTGTACTTCCATGCTTGATTGTTCGTGTAACCTTGCGACTTGAACGATGCAAATACAGTGCCCATGATTGCAAGCGACGCCCCTCCTCCAAGGTTTCCCCATCCTGCCGAGGTTGCGTTGGCAAGACCAACCACGTTGGTATGGAACATCAGGCTAGTCCACAGCTGGGTGAGTACAAAGGAGCCGCCCACCAGTGAGATGAAGAACCTGACAGCAAGGAGCCCTGATAAGTTGGTCACTGCCGCAGCACAGAACCCTGGTATGGACAAGAGGATCAGCAGCACAGAGTAGGTCCTCCTCACTCCATAGCTATCAGCAATGGGCCCAATGAAAATACGGATAATCAAGGTGCCTGACACGGACATGACATTGGACGTCGTGATGTCCGAGGCGGACAGGCCCAGCCCTCCGCACCCTGCTCCCACACGGTCGTCGTAGGGGGCACACTGCGCGCAGATCTTGTCCTTCCCGAGAGCCAAGGGATCGGGGAAGTTGATAGCACACTGCTGGCAGACAGGGGAGTCTGCGCTCAGGCAGGGAGGCTTCTTGATGGTCACCATGAGCGGTGGGATAGCAAACCACATGGTGAAGCAAATAAAGAAGGCAAACCAAGAGGCGTGGAAAGCTCTCATGTGTGGTCGCTTGAGTGACAGCAGATCAATCTTGGTCTTCCTGCCATTGACGTATCCTGGTCCATGGTGTGCTTGTCCTGACGTATCGTGGAAGATCGCATCCTCGTGCGTATGTTGTTCCTCAGTATCCGGAGAAGCCTTGCCCTCATGTTTCGCCTGTTCACGGTCTATTCTTTGATCCATTGTGTCTGATGTGCACTAGCTCGACTTAGTTCCAGCAAGAGATACTCTCCACACAGTCAGCTCCAATGCCTATTGCTCTTCGTTCCTTTCTGTCAATACTTGAGTGCACCCAATGCGAACGGCATCCAAATACCACTGTTTGAGTTTCCTGTTTCAGAGTTTGAAGATAAAACAACACTTGCTTGTCACTGCCGCATTCTATATCTCATATCATCAGCATCTTGTCCCTTGAATCCATCGCTCCTCTCCTTTCTGTCTTGCACTTGTTCTCCTCCTTGCTCTGTCCCCTTCGCTCCCTCCTACGTACCAGGCTCATCCCTCCAATACAGAAAGGGTTGCTCGGAGGGGGTGGGGGTACAGGAAATCGTCGATGGCAGTCGAACGACACACCTCTATGGGTGGGTAGTCAAAGACTCTCTGTGGGGTGGGTGGTATTGCTTGAGTTGTCCGCAGGAAGGGGTTTGTATATCTGATAAAACCACCGGATATTGTGGGGTAGGGTCCTCCATTATCAGGTAAACGTGGGAGAGAGGGGTAGTGACTGGAATTGGGTGGGTGGGGTTGATGGGCTGACAGTAGGGGTACTTGTTTTAGGTGCAACGAAACACAAATAAAACACAATTTTTTTAAAAAATATTTTTGACTTAAAATAAAACCGAATAATCACTAACAGTATACAAAATCATTTAAATATATATTAAATAGCTTTTAAAAATATCTGTCTTTGTAAAAATATTCTAAACCTATGTACACGGGGACGAACTCCGAGGGCTTAGCTGCGTCTCCCAATCTATTGAAATTTCCTACCGAAATATGACCAACGTTTCTGAAAACTGAGGCAGAAATATCAAATTGATTTCTGATCTCATGAAATACCGGCGGGCCGCAGCTTGACTTCGGCCGGCCATGCCAGGAGTAAAACTTAGCTCAGTTATCCGCTCAAATTTTACTCACCGGTACCACCATGGCTGGGCAGCCGGGGCCCGGGCAGTCCTGACACTGAGGAAGAAGAAAAGTTGAGACGCATCATGCCTGCTGAGCAGGCTGAAGATGGAGGAAGACTCCTAGGCTCGACGCCTGGGCTTGCTCATCTGAAGGGAATCATGCTTGAGGAAAGATCCACTGCTCGAGTGCAAGGCAGTCTGAAAGGATCCTTGCTCCGTCCCTGATAGTCGTTTCGGCATCGATGCCTTGTTCGATGAATCGTGTGATCGCAATGTCAGGCGTACGTGGTTTCGCGAGCAGAATCTGGTATTTCTTCGTGCTTTGTTTGCTTTCAGGCACTGTAGGAAGAGTAGAAGTAGGACCTGGACATGGGGTGGTACTGCTCCGTTTGAGAGGAGGGCAAACGGGGTTGAACAGAACTATCGTCGTTCCGAGCAAGGAATGCCCATCCATTCGGGATGGACTGGAAGAGGCCTGCATGATTGACGAGCTCAAGCTGAAGCAAGGGGTGCACAAACTTCCCTTCTCGTACCCCATAGTATCGAGGACTGTGCATGTTAAGGGAGAGGAAGAGACTTGGATCATCGGGAGGTGGAAGGTCTCGGAAGAGGGAGGGGGAAGGTGATGTCCCATCGCGGCGATGTTCATCTGACCCTGTTGCGACGCTTGCGACAGCTTCAGTCGGCTCAAGATCGCGGAAGCTCCATCAGCCAAGGCGCCGACAACAGAAGAAGACGATTGTGATCGCATTTCCTCCTCCTGCCCTCGAGCATCACTGACTTTCAACACGACTAGTGAGCACGTTTGACATCTCCGACTCCAAGTGGTCTTTCTACAAAGTTTGTCTGCACAATATCCAGGGAGTTGCTGTGGGTTGCAAGAGCATCGGTCGAATCAGCGCTTACCATTAGCCCTGTAATGTGCAGATCCATGGAACTTCTGCAGCCAACGTGCTTATGGACAACTGTCTAGTAGGAGGCGGTTCCCCAGAGCCCAACGGGCAGGCAAAGTGAGGGAGAGGAGAGAATGCTTGGATATCCTCATGATCGCTTCTTCTGCTTGTACATTACATTGTTTTTTCGTTCTTTGTGCTTCCCTGGTCTTTGCTGTGCACTCTTCAGTGATTGTCGTGGCAGGATCGGTATCATCATGAGCAACAGATGCCGTCTGGAGCTCAACCAGAGCACTGTTTGCCTGCCTTGCTGCTCGACTAGCATCTCACCCCTTCCCCCAGATTGCCTGGTGCGAAAACTTTGGGGTTGACATCGATGCGCAGACGCACATGCAGCTCCTGCAATGCTCCGTCAGAGAAAACAGGCGAGACTTCAAGGGGGGAGGCTGAGGATGATGTTCCAGGGCTCGGCAGGATTGGAATTCAGGTCGGCGATGGCTGTGTCGCCGACATCCAGGAATGTGAATTCGAAAATGCCGTATGCTCGCTGAGGTAGCTTCCCGATCTTCCTTCACCATTATGTGATGTCCGAGCTTCAAACCTGGCAGGATCGACGAGAGGGCACGTTACACGTCGCAGATCTTCCTGCGCAACAGCTCCATGGATCGGAATGTGAGTCTGAATGCCGCCCAAAGGCCAACGTGTGGAGACATGAGGAGCAAGGAATGAGCAGAGAGCAAACAGGGAGGGCAGGGGCAGGGGCAGGGGCAGGGGCAAGGGCAGGGGCAGGTGGTGGTTGAGTGAGTTGGAGTTGGAGCTTTGCTTCAAAGTTGATACAGTGCGTTGATGGGAATTTTCAGGTCTGGTTTGGAGGGAGAAGGCCTGTCCGCAACAGGAACGACCCTGAGGATCTGGTGAAGGAGCACATGATGAAGTGCAGCGCTGACGGCATGACAAGGTGGGAGACAGCACCTGGTCCTCGGAGAATCAGGTGAGAGAGAAGGAGAGGGTAAGGGGAGGCGCGAGTTGGGGCAGAGGAGAGAGTCTGAGATGTGAGGAAATGGAGGGGAGCGCGAGGAGGATGATGATGAGGGAGGGAAGGGAAGAGGATGACGAGTCAGGTTTTCCTTTGATGAGTTTGACAGGAGGACCGATCGAATGTGTACCAGTACACGGATATCTCATACAATTATATGTGAGGGGAGAAGAATGAAGATTGATGGAGATGTTGATGTTTTGCATGATTTCTCTCAACTTGACATGGTGGCGTTATGACAATGTTGGGACTGGAACAACAGCCGCGTAGTTCCCAACGACCTGCAAACAAGAGAAGGAGTAAGCAGGAGAGATGTTCAGGGAGTATGAGGAAGAGCAGCAGTAGGACGGTCAGCGGCAGAACACAGATCGTGGTGAGACGAGCAGCGATGGGGATGGCGCCGGGGGACAGCAGGAATGGTGAGGAAGAGAATGACGAGCAACAGGAGGAGGAGCGTTCGGTCACCGTGTCAACGCCGTGCTTGTAGTTGCGGATGTCGGAGGCGTGAAGGTGGTGGACGACGACGGAGAAGCAAGGGTTCGTCACCCGGACGCTCGCGTGCCTCAGCTCGAAGGCGAATCTGAAGCAGCATGAGCCGAGGAGGACGATGTGGGGAGCAGGGGAGGGAGGGAGGGGGAAGGGGAGGAGGAGGGGAAGTAGAGAAGGAGGAGGACAAGGACCAGGGTCAAGAGGAGAGCACAGGAGGAGGGTGGGATCATACGACCTGTTGTCGCATCCTGGTTTCCCGAGCTTGAAATCCACGTCAGCAAGAGGAGGGAGCGGAGCCCTCCAGATCCAGACGTCCTGGGAGATGGGAGCAGCGGAGGCGTTGAAACTGCCACGTGGCGATCAGAGAGCACGAGCACGAGGGAAGAAAATGAGACAGCAGCAGCAGCAGCAGCAGCAGCAGCAGCAGCAGCAGCAGCAGCAGCAGCAGCAGCAGCAGCAGCAGCAGCAGCAGCAGCAGCAGCAGCAGCAGCAGCAGCAGCAGCAGCAGCAGCAGCAGCAGCAGCAGCAGCAGCAGCAGCAGCAGCAGCAGCAGCAGGCGAGAGGAAAGGAGTCAATATGCTCTTCACCGCAGTCCAGCTGGCGAGACATCATGGCGAGTTAGCGCCAGGCACCTCCTGCTCATGTCGAGCCTCTTGAGCTGTGAGCAGTCAGCGGAATGAGAGGAGCAGAGGAAGCGGGAGAGAAAGGGTGACGTGGAGCATGGAGTTGATGTAGGAGGGAGTGACGGGAGAGGGTACATGAGGAGAGAGGAAGGGAAGAGAAGAGGAAGGGAGGAGCAAGCGATGAGAGATAAAGGTCACCTTGCCCAGACTAGAGTCAAAGAAGATGTCGGCATTGGCGAGGATGCAGATGCTGTCTTGGAGGAAACGCTAGAACGAAGTAGGAGGTGATCGAAAGAAAGGGGGAGGAGAGCAGAGGAGGAGCGGAAGTAGGTGGGGAGGGATAGAATAGGAGGCTGGTGAGTGGGAAGGAGAGGGAGGGCAAAATTTCGAGGGACACCAGGAGGATTGCAGGATGGCAAAGAGGGGAACAGGGGTTAGGAAAAGGGATGTGAAGCCGAAAGGGGTGGAGGGGGGAAGGGGAAGGGGAGGGTGGAAGGGAGATAGGATGATAAAGTGAGTGAGGGAAGCAGGCTGTAGAAGAGGAGGAAGAAAAAGAGGATAAGGTTCGGAGCACATTCGAGTATTCGATGGCTGCATCGTACGTCAACCAGCTCCCCTGCTCGAACTGATCACAAGGAAACTCGAGGAGCAAAGATGAAGCCTGACATGCACAAACTGGACGATCTTGTCCCCTTTGCCTTGATCGAATGCAGAGAAGTCCATGTCTTTCTCTGTCAAGACCTGCAAGAGTTCGGATGAGGAGGAAGGACAGGACAGGACAGGAGGACAGGGCTGGGCAGGGCAGAGGGGAGGTGAGGGGAGGGGAAGGGGGCGGGGTGTGCAGAGGAGGGGAGATCAGAGACATGTATGTGCCGGATGTGCGGGTTGTTGAGATTCCTCCGCAGGCACTCGTCGATCTCCTAGTGGATTCACAGTGAGAGGAGGAGGAGGAGGAGGAGGAGGGCGGCAGCGCAACAGACCTGCTGCCTCTCGGCCGACTTGTCCTTGTAGTACTGGATAATGAGATGTATTTGCTGCTCCTCCCTCAGCCTCTCCTGTCGCCCCTCGTCGCCCCTCGTGTCGAAGCTGTTCTTCCTGCACACTGGAGACTCAGGTCGCCGCGTCGCTGGGGAGGGCGAGACCTTCTGGATGTGAAGTCGGATTGCGCGTGCTGATCATGGCACACAGGACAGACTATCTCCTCCATCTGCTGCAGCGTCAGGTGGGCGTTAGGAGGCCGGACGGCAGCCACGTCGGCAATGGAAGGAAGAAAGTGCCGCAGCGTCCGCACTCGCAGCTGACGTGTAGCAGGTTGCACTTGGGGCATGCGATCTATGGAAAGTCAGAGGAGGGAGAGGAGAGGGAGAGAGGAGGGAGAAAGAAAGGTGAAGAGGTGGGAGTAGGGGGGGACGAGAAAGGAGGAGCAGGAGCAGGAGGATGGAGGGAGAAGCTGTACCATGGCACGATGAGCTTCGTAGAAGATTGTTGTCATGCACTTCAAGCAGTTCGCCTGGTGCGAGTTATGAGATGCCCGTGGAGGGAAAGAGAGACAGAGGGAGGGCATAACCTGAACATTGTTGTCGGGAGTTGGATAGAGAAGCGCACCTGGCGCCATCAAAGGGTTTGAGGGAGGAGCACAACAGTGACGATAATGATGATGACGATGATGGGGATGGTGGGGATGGTGGTGGTGGTGGTAATGATAGCAAGCTCTCACTCTTCATCTCATCTTCGACCACGATGGCTTTCCTCTCAAACTGGTGTCTGAACTTCTTATCTTGTTCGCTCTCCAGCTCTACCATGTCTTCCGGTTCCTTCACCTTCATCTTCACCTCCTCTCGCACGACCGCACGCTTCTCGGCATGCTCAGCGTCTCCTGTTCATGACAGACAGCACAACAAACATGCAAGGTCAGAACAATGTTTCATCCTCCCTTCTCTTCACCTCTCTTCTCACGCTCGTTCTCCTTTGAAGGCTTCACAGCTTATGTGTTGATCAGGTACGAATGAAACAACTCCCTCTCCCTCCCTCCCTCCCTCCCTCGTCCTCGTCCTCGTCCTCTCACCTTCTTGCCGCAAACGCGGCTTGCTCGTCGTCCCCCTGCTACATCGGAAGAGGAAGACGTCGTCCCTGTCCGCGAGCTGCTCTGCCGCTCTGCCGCTCCCCTTGAGCTTCTTCCTCCTGCACTACATCAGCCTCTCCTCTTCCCACGTCTCACGCGCCTACTTGTGGTTTCTCAGCTCCAAGCTCTTCACCTCCAGCTCGACCGCCTCCTCCCCGAAGCGCGACCTGTAGTCGGCGATGAACTCCTTCCACACTCGGTCAGCGATGTGGAGGGAGGGAGGGAGGGAGGGAGGGAGGGAGAGGGAGGAGGAGGAGGAGGAGGGAGCGAGGCAGGAAGGCAGGCAGGCAGACAGACTGTGGACATGAAAGTGAGTTGTGACCTCGGCGAGCTGGAGGAGGGTGGCATCGTCGCTGAAGGAGTGAGCGACCATGGTATGGTGCGGCTCCTCCTCCTCGAAGTGGATGTACAGCCTCATCCTCCTCCCGCGCCTGCATGTCAGAGTCAAAGCCCTGAGCTGTCGTTTCCTTCCTCCCCTTCCCTTGTCTTCCTTCACTTC